TTAAAATCCGAATTTGGGGAGGGAGAAGAAGGAGGTGGAGAAGGAGGGAAATGGTTTTTTTGAGTTGATGATTATTTGGTATTTAAGAAAGAAAAATAGTATTTGTAATATTTTTTTGGTTTTAATTTCATTAAGGGTATTAAAGTAATTTACAATTAATTATTTATTTTTTATTTTTTTGTTATTCAAGTAAGCAAAAGTTGGGATTTGAAATAGTGTTCCCCATTAATGATTACAACTTTTATGTTTTGAATTTTTCCAAAATCAGACTAGAAAATAGTGAAAATTACTGTGAAATCAAACCAATATTAGTAAGATTGAAACGAGATTTAACATTTCAATATAAATTAAGTTTAATATGTATTTTATTTGAATATAAATGGGGTGGATTAATATTGATTAGATAGTTCTTAATCATTTAACATGCTAATTAATCATGTCATTAATACTGTCCTACCTAGAACTAATTACTCATTAATTCCCTATGAATTGTTGTCTCAAAGAGGGCTGTTAACAATGAGACACAGTCTGAGGTATTGCACCTAACACTTGTCTTAATATGGACGAAGAAAGCAAAAACTTTAATTAAACTCCTAATTATATACAGTGAACTTTTTCCCCACCCTACAATTTGCTACAAAAAAAGACAAGTGTCAATAATATATTTTTGTCAAGGCACAGTTTGATTATATCATGATTGCAATTATTAATTAATATGATCTAACTACAAAATTAGATTACATTAGAATTAACTACCTTTTTCGGAAGTTAGAACCTTCCAAAATCATATGGTAGGTGTAAAGTAAAGTCATCAAGAAAGTGGTGATTATAGATGTTAATTCAGATTTTCAGTATCTTTTTATAAGTCAATCGGGTAGATCTTAACTATTCATAAACACACATCCACATTGGTGTGTAGATCAACACTAAAATACGATCCGACATAACCTTCAGTGGGTGTAACATAGAAAAAACTGTCGATGGGGTAATTCTTGGATTTTGAAATCCTTTAGTTGTCAATTTTAAGTTAATATTTCTTTGTTGATTCAATCACTTCACCTAATTTTTAGGTCCAAAGAAATACTAAAGAGAAATAAATAAATAAATAATGGTGATTTTCAGTAACGTGGTCATCAATTTGCATGACTTGAAATAGAAAGATTCGATTTTTTAATTGTCAAAATCTTTCAATATGATTAATGGACACAAGTCAAAACCACCACGCAGCTAAAAGAATCTTAACCAAATTAGACATCCAAAAAAATCATTGTATCAATCATCCATTGAAAACAACGTTGTAACTTCACACACACACACACACACACACACACACACACACACACACACACACACACACACACACACACACACACACACACACACACACAGAATGAGGACATGTGACCGAAGTAAACATTTCATTTCACTTTTTAAATTTTCTTTCGTCGGACAGGAGAATCTGCGGTTTTTCATACGATTGGAAATTCAGTAATACACGAAAGTTGACGAATCTAAAACACGTATTAAAAAAAAAAAAAAAAAAAAAAAAAGAATTAGGGCAAAGGCATAGGCGTCTTCCATTTGCTAAACTCGACCAAATCTCTATTAACGATAGAACCATTATGCAACCAAAACGTTTCGGCTGAGTTATGGAATTTTCTCACTTTCTTCTGAAGCTCCCACAGAATTCCTCTGAAAGCAGAGCATGATTCAGATTCCGGAGAATACACCCATAAGCACCTCACTCGTCTACCCTTCGCTATCATGTCCTCTATATATTTATCTGCGAGAAAAAAAGAATTTTTTTTATTAGCAATTACTAAAATGACTCCTATAAGAAAAAAATGCAGGAAATTCGGACCTGGGATTGATTCCAAGTAATCCAAAAGTTGTGTTCCGATTCGAGTGGATGGCCATTTAATTGAAATTTGGGCATAATCGACTATATTCTGAAAAGGCAATTCCGCTTGGTCTGATAAAAGAACTGGAACACATTCCTGTTCAGAGTCAACGAGTAAAAGTTCGACATATCAATTTTTTTTCTTCCTTAAATTATAGACATTAATGCAAAAAAAAATTAAAAAATAGGTAAGGATTAAGATACATACCACAAAGAATGACTCGTAAAACCGAAGAGTCCATGATGACTCCCCGCGTGGGGCCAAACAGAATTTTGCATTGCGTAGGTGTTGAAAGTATTCTGTCCTTCCAAGTTTTTCAGGGCCGCTGAATTTCAACTCTGGAGATTCCAACTGTTTATAGAATCAAAATGCATATCTTCTCGCAGGGAATTATCATGTACTAAAAGTCGAGCTTTTAGAGGGTTATTTACACAGTATTATAGCCCACAGTGAAGTTGATCAACTCCAAGTACAGAATAAGTGATGTTTGTAACTGTCTACTTGATATTTCCGTTATAAAATTAAAATATATAAAAGTAAACACTGTAACCCATAAGCTCGATTTAAGATTCACTACCGACTATTTGATATTTCGTTTTTCCATATTCCTTTTTTTTTACGAGGTTGAAGAAAAAATTTCTACTCTATGTAAAAAAGAATAGGAACTATTTTCAGCAACAACTCTAAGAAGCCAAAATAAACCTCTTAGAGAATCCACCATTCACATTATTTTTACTCTTGGAATATTTCTGAGCAATGAATTATCAATCGAGAAGTGAAAGATGTACCTTATCAGGGTATTGTTTTGCAAGATCTATCAATTGCAAACGGCCAGCCTTTCCTTGAGCTCGACCCAAATAATTTGCCAAGTATTTTCTCCTTGATAACGGCAGAGGGTCAACCAGCCTAGACTTGTGAGCTGTCATTCCATCATCAACATTACCAGGTATGATTATATCTTTCCATGTATTGAAGGCAGTCGTGTCTCGTTTATCAGTCCGGTCACCCTGCACCATTTTCGAGAAAGAAACAGATTTTCGTCACACAAAAACACAGATCATGGAAATTGATTATTCAAAAAAAAAAAAAAAAAAAAACCTCCGGAGTCAGAATTATAGATCTATTTAAATATGTCGCCCATGACTTGAACAAATGAGCTCCAGCACCACTGCGAAGGAGAGGCACAATTGAAATATTATTACAGCACTTACTCATAGCAGAAAATGGGTGAAAAAAGTAAAAATTCCGAATGTCTGTCCTAACTAAGAACCACAAGTGAAAAACCAGGCATCATTCATACCTTGGAAAAACAAAAACATGATTGCGGCCACCGGATAACCTGAAATATGGCATTTGACTTAAAACCTGAAACCAAATAGTGGTAATTTAAATAACAATTGCATCCCCTAAAAAAATTCTTCCCAATTGCCCGTGTTTGGATAAAGAATTGCATTACCTTGACATAAGTTTGGTTGATCTCTTTATCACTGAGTCCACCCATCATTCGGACACATTTAACGTAAGATGGCACAAAGAACAGATCTGCTTCCTCTTTCTTTTTAGTTCGAAATGTTGATTGTAAAAGCAACCTATGTATCTTAACCTAAGTTGAATTAAATATTAGACAAAATTAAGAAGTACAAAAAAAAATCCAATATATTTTTCTTTAGGTATTTCTAATATAGATCCAAATGTAGTTGTTTTTCTTATTCCGAAATCTCTACCAAAAACTGCACAATTTTTAATTTAATCAAAACTCACAATTCGGGGCTTCTAATCACATAACATACACAATATAATACGACACACTGAAAACCTTAAAGCAGTGATCAAGACCCCTTTTCCTTTATGCAGCGAATTGAATATTTCACTTATACCAACAGTGATGTTGTGCTCCTAAGATACTAAAATCATATTGCATTCGCATGACAACTGTTTAACAAGCAACTCGATTCGATCAAACTCAACGCCATCAACAAAACACCCTTGGTATAATGAAACCACGCTCGCAAAAAACTTTTTCAATCGCCCAAGAAGCAGAAGAAATCAACGCCGGAAGATGGTGACCTCAGCTCTCACCGGTTGCTCCAATCCCATCCGAAGAAGCAAATACGCAGATGGCTCCAACTGTGGAAAAAGTGTCTTTCCAAGCGAGATTCCATTATACCAAAGCAATTGTTGACGACACTGAGTTTAATTCTCTTTGAACAAAAATGAAGCATTTAAAAATGCCGAGTTCAAACGAGGCACTTACTTCGCAATTCCATCCATGTTTTTTTTTTCTATCTTAGTAATTTATGGTGACATTCAAACTACTGACAGAAACAACTGTAGCAACAATTTCATTTCGCAACAATAAATCATTTCATTCTAAATACGCAGTTCTCCAATTACCAAAATAGCCCCAAATTCAAGTCGAAGAGAGAGAGAGAGTACTTGCCTGAGTGCCCCACTGGCCTTTGACGCAAGCGTCGGCAGAAATCTTCCCCTCGCGTCCGTACAACAGCAGCTTCAAACCCTCGATCTCGTCCTCATCGTACACGTAGATCCGCAAACTCAGGTGAGTACCGTATCCGCCGGAGCCCTCGAACCGAACGACGTCGTCTGGCGCGATGTACTGGTTCGGATCGGAGAATGAGTTGCGGTAGGGTGAAGTGCAGGAGCTGAGAGAGTGGTCGAAGAGTCTGGTGAGAAAGAAAGTGCCGACGATGAGTGCCAGGGCGGCGATCTGATGGGTGCGGGTGCATTGGGTGTGGCTGTGGGGGTGCGGAGAGAAGAATCTCGTGCTTTTGTTGCCGGGGTTTGTGCTCGCCATTGTTGTGAGAGTGTGACTGTGTGTGAGCGAGTTTTTGTTGCTTGATTTTCTTATTACAGGAAATCTGAAATGTTAAATGTCGATTTAATTTTACTAATATCGTTTTGACTTCGAATCTGATTTTGATATATTTTTATTTTGATTTTGTCAAAATTCAAAACACGAAAATTGTAGTTCTTTGTGTTATCTTTCTAATCCAACTTAAATCTGCTAGATTGGATGTTGTATGACAAAGTTATGTACGGATGAGTTACATTTTGAATTTTAGATACCTCAATACATCAAAGTTGTGGGCAGTATTCATTGATTCATGTATATTTTTCTCGTCCGACATCCAATTTTGGTGATTCAAGTTGAATTTGAAAACTAACTTAGAATACTACAAATTTTATTTTTCAGGTTTTGCAAAAATTGGATTTAAAAATAATAGAAATCACGTTTAAAGTCGAAACGGTATTATTAAAGCTCGAACGACATTTATCACATCCCTTATTGTAATTGAATTTAAATATTCGGCAATTTAATTTTAATGTAATTTTATATGCATTGAAAAAGCCCAAATAAAGAGTAGTCCCCACTCCCCAGGCCCAAATATCACGGCCCGCATTCCTCGTAAAGCCACGTCAGCAAAAAGCTCGAATTAAAAAAAAGTCGAGACGTGTGTAAATCGAATTAATGCCCCTCTCTCATCACCTATAAATAAGAGAGAACCTCTCGCCAAAACTTATATTCGAAAACTAAAAAATTTCCTTAAAACCTTCATCAACTATTTTCCACGCTACTTGCGAAGAAACCCCAAATTATCAACCACGATGGCGCGGCGGAGAGACGACTACGCGGAGGAGGAAGACGACGTAGACTACGAGGACTACGACGGTGTTGATGGAGAAGATGGGGAAGCGGACGACGACTACGACGGCAGCGGGAAGACGAAACGCAAGAGGAGCCGATCGGAACTTATAGATGATTATGCGGAGGAAGACGACGACGACGAGGAAGAGGACGAAGATGATGAGGATTACGGCGGCGCCGCCGGAGGAGGGAAGCGGCGTAGGAAGGCGGCGTCACAGTTCTTTGACGATGAGGCGCTTGTGGATGACGATGACGACGAATTGGAGGACGATGAGGACAGAGAAGAAGGTTAGGGTTTTTTTTGTTTTTTTTTTTTTGCGCGATTAATATTTTATATTTAATCATAATACTCTCGGTGTATAAAATTGAACTTGAATTTTGAGTTAATACGCCCAACTGTTGTTATCGATTGGAATAAGAGAAGAAACAATGCGTGATTTTGCTAGTTTAAGAGCATACGAGAAGTGAAATTGGTCATGGTAACAATTGCAACACTGATCAATGATTCTAATTCGTTTTTAACATGACAGTGGAAATTTTTGAGGAGATTCATGTTGAGAATTTATTCTCTTGTAATTGGAATTTCTGAATTGTTTGTATTTTAGTTCTGTACTTTGGCTCATATTTGCTATCATCCTCTGTTATTCTTATGGCCTTGGATCTTGTTATGTAGATTTTATTGTCGACGATATACGTGATGAGGATGATAGACGAATTCATCGTCGTCCATTGCTTCCACGAGAGGATGAGCGAGAAGAGGATGTTGAGGAAATCGAGAGAAGAATTCAGGAGAGGTATTCTAAGAGCCTTCACGTTGAGTATGACGAAGAGGCTACAGACGTTGAACAGCAAGCTCTATTGCCGTCGATTAGGGATTCTAAATTATGGATGGTGAAATGTGCGGTATGATTGACGAAATTCTTTAATGTGTGAATTAAATGAAAAAGATTTATAATGATACAAATTAATATGATCCGTTTTTTGTGCTACGTAGATTGGTCGTGAAAGGGAAATTGCAGTTTCCCTTATGCAGAAGTGTATCGATAAGGGATCCGAGCTGCGAATTAGATCTGCCATAGCAATTGATCATCTAAAAAACTATATATACATAGAAGCAGATAAAGAGGCCCATGTGAAGCAGGTATGCATCAGTTTATAACTTTTATTGTACTTTTTCTTCTTCAGATTCTTTAGGTTGTAAATTTACGGAGAATGTTTTGCTACAGGCTATTAAGGGTATGCGTAGTATATATCCAGGTAGAATAATGCTCGTCCCTATAAAGGAGATGACAGATGTTCTCTCAGCCGAAAGCAAATCACTCGATATTTCTAGGGATACCTGGGTGAGAGTGAAGATTGGTACATATAATGGGGATCTTGCAAAGGTATATTTTCCCACTGGTATTTTTTTGTTGTTGTTTTGTTTCCTGTTTTCCTTTATTTTGTTTCTTGGTTTCTTATGGCTGATTCATTTCTTTTGTTGTAAATGCTAGGTTGTAGATGTTGACAATGTCCGGCAGAGAGTAACAGTGAAAGTAATCCCGAGGATTGACTTGCAGGCCCTTGCTAATAAACTGGTTCGTATTTGTAATTTGCTGTTTAGAGTTTTTAAATTCTTGACCATTATGAACATTGCTTATGTCTTCTTTATTCTATTACACGCATGACATGCTGGCTTTGTTTCAGGAAGGGAGGGAAGTTCCAAAGAAGAAGGGATTTAAGCCACCTGCCCGGTTTATGAGTATCAATGAAGCTAGGTATAGTTGTTACAAAATCTTTTTATTTGTTTCTTTCATTCTTACTTGCTTCCCCCCGAAAGTTGACTTTTTCATTTATTTGACCAGGGACCTAAGTATTCGTGTAGAAACTAAACGAGATCCATCTTCGGGTGATTCCTTTTACAAAATTGAGGGGATGATGTTCAAGGATGGTTTCTTGTATAAAAATTTCTCACTGAAATCGCTCAGAACTCAGAATGTGAAACCTACTTTTGATGAACTCGAGAAATTTCGGCAGTCTGGTGAAACTGGGGATGGTGACATGTCATGTTTGTCGACACTCGTTGCAAACAGAAAGAAAGGTCATTTCATGAAGGGTGATAGGGTTGTAGTTGTAAAGGGAGATCTTCAAAACTTGCGAGGATGGGTGGAAAAAGTTGAGGAAGATTCTGTACATATTAAACCAAACGAAAAAGGCCTTCCTGTGAGTAAAAACAGAATTTAGCTTTTCCACACGATATCTTGAATTTTATGTTTGGATGGTGATAATAACCACATTGCACGTTCTAATTTTCAGAAAACTCTTGCTATAAGTGACAAAGACCTCTGCAAGTACTTTCGAACCGGAAATCATGTAAAGGTCGTATCTGGTGCTTCAGAAGGTGCAACTGGTATGGTGGTTTCAGTTGAAGGTCACATGGTGAACATAGTTTCAGACACAACCAAGGAGCTTGTATGTTATCTTCTTAAGTACTTTAGTTGTCCATTTTATTTTTATTCGTGCAAGTACTGACTCTGTTGCTATTTTTGCTATACACAGTCTCGTGTCTTTGCGGACAACATTGTGGAAAGCTCTGAAATAACATCAGGTGTTACTAGGATCGGGGATTACGAGCTTCATGACCTTGTGCTACTTGAGTGCGTTTTTTCTCTTTCATGAAAATTTTATTTATTTTCCAGTTTTTCACTATTGGGTTTTTTTAAATGAAAGTTATTAAACGTGCAGGGACAATAGCTTTGGCTTGATTATACGTGTGTTGAGCGATGCTTTCCAGGTTAGCCTGAATAAATAGAAGCCAACAAAGACTATTGATTGGTTTGTCGTTCTATTAACTTGCTTTATGGTTTCTACTCAGGTTCTTAAGGGTGTTCCAGAATGCCCTGAAGTTGCCCTTGTGATGTTGAGAGATATTAAACAGAAGATATTTATGAAGATTTTTGCAACGGACCAATATAAGAACACAGTATCCGTGAAAGATGTTGTAAAGATTCTCGAGGGTCCGTTTAGGGTGCGCTTCTCAAACCTTACTTACCGATTATTAGTAAAAATTAATGTTTTCGCTGTACTGAGATGATCATATAATATTCAACTCCATTACTACTTTTTCAGGGGAAACAAGGTCCGGTTGAACATATATACAAAGGAGTCTTGTTTATTCATGACCGTCACCACCTTGAGCATACTGGCTTTATTTGTGTTACATCCAAGTCTTGTATGGTTGTGGGTGGATCTCGTTCGAACGGTGATCGCGATGTATGGATAAATATTATTTTCGTGTTCTCGAGTTTTCAGTGACTTTGATTTTGACTTTGACATTTGACTTTTTTCTATTTAGGGTAACACATTGATATCGAGATTTGCGCATCTCAGAACGCCATCTTGTGCCACACAATATCCGATGAGACCACCTAGAGGAGGCCCTGGCCCCATAAATAATTGTAAGTAATTTCTATATAAGAAAATTAAATTTTCTGCATTTTTTTTATATTTAAAATATTAACTTGAATTGGACAGTTGGAGGGAGGAATGGAGGTGGTGGAAGAGGTTTAGTTGGAGCTGCGGTTAAAATTCGTGTCGGCCATTATAAGGGAAGCAAGGGACGAGTAGTAGAAGTTAAAGGTTCAACGGTTCGTGTTGAATTAGAGTCGCAAATGAAAGTTGTTACAGGCAAGTTCTTCTCCTCTCAATTTCCCTTTCTTTTTCTTTATTTTGTATTGACTCCCACGTAATCATATTTTGGTATCGACAATTTTGTGCAGTTGAACGCAGTTATATTTCGGATAATGTCAATGTTTCCACACCATTCAGGTAGGCTTATAAATTATAATAATACTTGGCATATTTATTTATTTATTTTTGGTTTTTGGATTTTAAGGTTTCTGATATAATCTTTCAAATTAGGGAAACATCAAGATATGGCATGGGAAGCGAGACACCTATGCCGCCTCGAACTCCACTGCATCCGTGTATGACTCCTTTGAGAGATTCGATGGTTTCGAGTCCTGTATAAAATTGATCGAATTGTACATCTTTATTATTTATTTATTATTATTTTTTAATCTCTGACAAAAAAAATAAAAGATCGGAAAATTTTCACTATTTTGCCATAGTCAGATATTCCGAGCTCACTGGCAAATCTGCTAAACAACAGCAACAATTTGTTATTTTTGTCATTATAAAAAACAAAATGAAGTTGATAAGCTTTATATTATTGTTGATACTTAATAAACATGCAAATATATATTGAATGTTATTCCAAGCGGACATATATTATTTGTAATTTAACATATTTGTTACAGAATTTAAACTACATTAAGTTGGTTTAAGCCTCATTGTGATATATTTATGGAATTTGCTTAACTTTAATTGTGATACATTTATGCCTGCACGCCATGGTATACAATTCAATATTGTGCAAGTAAAAGACAGACGGAATTACGAAACTACTCTATAATAAAGTTATATAATATTAGTATAAATGGGCCTACGAAATAGTCAACCCATTTTTGTGATAAGTTGTCAACCCAACAATCTTGGCCCCAGAATGTGCAATTACAACAATTTACCCCGTTTCGCTGCTTCAGCACTCACCGCCTGTAGACACGGGCCATGGGTCGGGTCGGGTCCGGGTCAAACTTCTAAGGAACCCGAAATCGACCCGTGGGGAGGTGGGTCCGGGTTCGCACGGATCCATCCAAATAACAAGAAAAAAAATATAAATTGAAACTTGAGCTTAACTTTAAATTCAAAATTACAAAAAAAATAAAAAAAATTGAACTAAATAATTTTAGAAAAATTAAAACGATTAAGACCTTGATAAATAGATTAAATAAAATGAAGGTTGTGCAAATGAATTGGTGAAAATTGGAGTGTGGGTATTTATAAGTGAAAATTATAATTTAGAGATTTTTCAAAATTCAAAATTCAATCTTTCTTTTAAATTACACGAGTTGAACCGTATTTTTCAAAATACTATATATATATATATATATATATATATATATATATATATATATATATATATATATATATATAATTTTGAAAAATCTCTAAATTATTATTTTGACTTGTGCCCTCACTATCTCAATGAGTCCGAGCAGGAGTCAACAGTTATCCGAGGTTTAATTTGTTGTTTTTCTTTGTGCATGCATGTTGTATAGTCCATGATTTAATTTGGTCGTTGTTTTGTTTATCTTACTTAAATTTTATTAATTTTCTTAAGCAGTGTTTTATTTTTTTGCTTTTCTTATATATATTGTTAAATATATATATATATATATATATATATATATATATATATATATATATATATATATATATATATATATATATATATATATATATATATATATATATATATATATATATATATATATATATATATATATATATATATATATATATACGCTACTCGTGGTACAATTCATATTCACCACACGCGCTTCGTGCCCGAACGCCGAGGCCATTGTCAGCCAAGTGGTGAACCGAGCTGCCATCGACAACTCTCGTGTGTCGCTGATTCTTCTCCAACTGTATTTTCACGATTCTTTTGTCGAGGTTTTTTTGTTTTTTTTCTTTCTTTCAATAATTTTATTTATGATATATTTATCCATTTCTGTTTTCTTTTCACTTTGAGGGCTGCGATGGTTCTATTTTGCTTACAAAGGGCATAGACCAACCCAAGAAGGAAGCACTTGGCCATCAAGGAGTCCAATGATTTCTTGAGATAGCGAGTGCAAAACAAGCACTCGAATCTGCCTGCCCGATGTTGTTTCGTGTGTGGACATCGTTGTTATGGCCGCACGAGACGCCATCGTATTGGTAATTTCTTTCTTTTTTTCTTTTTAGAAATTCCAATTGAAATATGTGGGGATGTGAACTGAATTGGTAGATAATTAGTTGTGGTAATTATTTTTCAATTGAAAGTAAATAAATATTTTTTTTTCTTTTTTCTTTACCCCTAGACTGGTGGACCGATTTACGCAGTCGAGACCGGGAGAAGGGATGTCACGGTTTCAAGTAGATTACTTGCAACCGACATGCCTGACTCTCGCGACTCAGTAGACATCCTTAAGTCCAAGTTCTTCAGCAAAAAACTTTCCGAGGCCGAGCTCGTCATTGATGGATTGAAAATGTTGATTTTTTATTCAAGACTTGAAAAAAGTATATTGCTCCTAGTGTGTGTTTATGAATTAAAATTTTGCATTTGTTGTAAAACAGAAGATATTTAGGAAGATTTTTGCAACGGACCAATATAAGAACACAGTATCTGTTGGAACCACGGCTGCAATTTGACGAACGATCACAAAACTTGTGGGATGAGGATCGTACTCCATTTGCTCTCTCTTTACATAGTTGATAATTAGCTGCAATAATATACACAATAATATGGAGATAGGCAAGGTGAGGCGCGGACTAGGTCGCTCTCTTAAGACGAATTTCACGACCCCTTCTCTAATGAGGTGCAAAAAAGGTTCCGATCGTGTCGCCTATGGGATACAACAGCCCAGCCTATCTCTCCGCTGTAACTTCACCGAAATTGCACGTTCAAGTGAAGCAGAAGCTTACACCCGACACACAACAAGAGCTCAAAATATATGTATATAGTATAGATGAAAAGTGTTTCTTTTTTTCTTCCTTCTTGTGCCTTGTAAAACCACAAAGTCCCCCTTTTTATAGTATAAAATATGACCACCATAAAACCTATATTTAATATGGAATTAAAGGAAAAATATTGAGGTTTTATGAGCCAAAATAAAGTCTTTGGTGGTTTCAAAATATTGCTCTAAATGACCTCATAAATTGGTCAAAGAAAATATTCAATAAAATATTATTTTTATTAAAAAACCCAACAATCCCCCACTATTTTAATAAAAATAAGAATAATAATAATATTTGAGCTCTTGCGGAATATTATGCATAATGAAAGTGGACAATGCCTTCAAACCTTCACTTAGTACAATATGTTTCCCGTACTAGAATCAAAGTGGACTTAGCCTTCAAACAGTGACCCTTGGGGCACGTAGAATCATATTGCACACATAATACTCAAAGTGTCCCGATCGAAGCTTCTAAAGCCAGCACGTTAACGGCCATGTGCTTTACCCCATTTCTCGTGAGAGCTCTAGAGAACAGCCTATAATTCCCATAGGAAGCGGCCCCACTTCCACACTCACAAGGTGAATTCTATCAAGGATGTTTACGTAACTCCAACACCCCACCCATCCGGGCTATAGAACTCATTAAGAGATCAAAGTCTCAACCTCACAGTTCGTTACGAGCTTTATTAGTGCACACGCACCATAGGGATGGATAATAAAAGTGTGCACTTTTATCACTATCAAGTTGCTTTCAGATTCGTTTTTCTTCGCCTAGTTCGTAGGATCTCTAGCCCCTAGGCGGTAGTATCCTCCTCAACAACTTTACAAAATATATTAGGCTTTAATCCAATCCTCCTCAATGCATTTCAGATGATTTCTGAAATAATATGAAATATAATTTCACAAATTTAGTAGCGCTTATCTGACATTTAGTCTCGTAGACTCAATGGTTTATTAACCATTCTCAAATAATTTTACATGTAATATCTCATAGATTTTCACGTGAATTTTCACATATATTCACAGTACTGTATTTTCTTTTAATGGTTCCGGCTCCCATTAAAAGATTCTCGCTTTTGCCAACTGCAGATTTTCAATCACATGTATGATCTATCAATGCACAAATCATTGATTTTTCACAATCTCATTAATCAAAGCACAAAGCATTTGATTTATCACACATTAGGATTTTATATATCACATTCGGTATCAACCGGCCTCTTCACAGGCTAATGTCAAAATAATCAATCCAAATTGATATGAATTTTCAATTTTAAATTATCGGCATATACCTCATTCACACAAGGTGAAAAATTGGAATATAATTCCTCTCTTTTAGATTTTCAAAATTCAACAATATTGAAAACTTTGAAAAATGTTTCACTTCACAAATCACAAATATATTTGCTAGTATATTTTCAGCAAATTTAATAATCACAATTAGGCATTTGTAAATGATATCAAGGTCACATATATGCAAATTTAGGCCTATGATAGTTACTTATATAATCAAGATTGCAAATAAAGCATAATTTATCACATTATCACTATTCAAATTTGCAATCATAAAGTGGGCAATTTAAATAAAGATCACGTTAAAATCAATTGTAACATACTCATATAAGTAGACATTAAAACCCCCACTATTTCTCAATATTTAAACAATACATAAAATGTTTAATCATATGATCATGCTCTCTAAGACCCCCACTAATTCACATCAAATGTTTCAACACATGAATGATGAATTAAATTCAAGATATAATATATCATGCTCATTTTCACCATTAGAGAAAACTATAATACCCCCACTATTTCTCAATTTAAATAAATTATTTTCATATAAAAAGTATGTCATGACTAAACAAAATTATTCTTTACGAATCAGCGGCAATTTAGCAAGCTCACATTTTTGTAATTCCCATTTTCAAGAGATAAGCACATGCAAAGTTAAATCTTATATTGAATTTATCATAAATTGCAGCAACAACTTGTAAACTTCTATACATGCATTGCTATATGTATATGAACGTTACGTTAATGCTTCAAATATATTAACACAGTCAAAACATGCATTTAGTTTCACTATATAACGGCTGTGTCATGTGAGGCTCTCGGCTCTCAATACAAAGAAACATTAATACCCAATTATGAATTCTTAATAGTAATTGAATATGTAATCAATTCTCAACGTTCAAGTAAATAATAATCCTTCAGAATTCTAATAGAAGCAAAATGTTTCACTGAAGAACAACATACTCAAAAGCCAAACGTACAAGTTGAATGAACCAAATTTTAAACTCATGTTGTCATGCACATATGCAGATTGCATTCACTTATGATAATAGGTCCGATGTATGAATACTTACGGTGTTGTAATTATATACTCATCCAATTCCAAGAATATAATATAATAATAATGATAATAAATTAATAACAACATGCCCAACATAGAGGCACGAATGCACATGTTTATACTCATCTAATCTCAAATTATTTATGATCATCAATCATATTAAAGTTTCCTACTATTGTTCATCACACATTTATCATGCAACATTATTACTCAATTGCAAAAAATCATAATTAGTATTATAAAAGAATAA